AAAAAAAAAAAAAAAAAAACAAGAAAAAAAACCAGTTGAAGTTATTAGACAAAAAAGATGAAAAATACAGAAAAGATAATTGCAGAATTTTTTTTGTATCAGTCAACAAAAAAGCAGAAAAAAGAAAAATGATTAGGAAATATGAATACCGCGTAAAAATCTGTGGTATAAATTGAGTGAAGAAGTATTTTTGGTGTGAACATCGGTATCACCACCACCAGCATACTTCCCAACAATCGTTCTGCCTGTTGTCCTAATGGGCAAAACCGTAAGCAAAATTGTTAAAAGTACGTTAATAGTTGTGGTAAACACAATCATGCTTCTCAGGTTTTGTTCGCCATCGTTTATTATGCTGATAACACACAGAATAAACAGTAATTTTTTTTTTTATTTTTTTTTTTTGGTGATTATAGTAGCAACAATTATTTTTTTTTTTCTCTAATCATTGTTGATTAGATTTTAATGCGTAGCAGGAAGAGAAAAAACTACAACATTTACAACAGTATCCAAAAATAATTAACTTTTTCTCTTACTACTGCTCAAAAAAAAAAAAAATTGAAAAAGCGATCGACGAATTATGATGACAATAACGTAGGCAAAAAAAAAAAAGCAAACGCTAACAATATCTATTTGTTTAACGAATAAATACTGCCAACTACATTCAAAGAAAAAAGTGCAAGAAAAATGTTTGCAATCAACTGTATTAAAGATGGAATAAATAGTATTTTACGGGAAGTTCGTGGAACAGCAAAGGAAGCAAAGGGAGTAAAATTGGAGGGTAGGGAGAGAGTTGCTGTTGAAGAAGGGTCAAATCACGAAGGAGAGGAGTGAAAGAAGGAGTAGAGAAAATGAGAAAGTGACCGGTGATGTTTTGGCGAAATTTCTAAAACTGTGAAACACTACCGAAAACGCTCATACATCTGTAAATGTTTTGGATCAGGGAAACCGGTGAACGTTCATAGTGCTGAATAGCAACGAAGGAGCAGTGAGAAAAGCTCAGTTTTTGAAAGCAAAAACTGTCTCTTTAGTTGTTTTGTTTAAGAAAAAAAATAAAAAAAATCAAAAAAATTTAAGTTTTACCTTCTTTTAGTTATTCTGTTATCACAGGGAACGTGAAGAATTTGTTTTTCACTATTATCAAAATGTCGTCAATGAAATAACTAAACTGATAAAATGACAAAAAAATGACATTTTTCTGAAACTGTATTCTGAACTTAATTAAAAAAAATAGAATTGACACGATTACACAGATGTTTTTAAAGCTTCTACACCTTTTGTACGATAAAAATCAGAAGAATTTCTCCTTTTTTTTTCTTTGGCATCTAAAGAATCTTCGTTTTTTTCTGTAGCCTTAGAAGCTTTAAAAATGGCGAAAAAACAGATTACTGAACACTAACAAGAAGAAATTTTACATTTTGATGCTGTACATTTTTTGTGCCTCGACTCATTGAATGAATAATTACTAATGATCATTTAATCAAACGATAGAACAAAATCAATTGATAAAAAAAAAAGAAGGGAAGGTCAAGAAACGATGACTAATACTTAGATGGCCAATAGACATCTATAACCCACCAGTTTCTACCTACTTTTCTGGCAGTCGTTTCTTCTTCTGTACATTCACCTGTCAATCACGTCTTCTGCTACGCCTACGAGAAGCACATTCCACTGCTTCCAATGCTACGCACTATCTTTTATATTCTCCTTCTTCCTTTCTTCCCTCTCTTTCCACCTTCACTTCCCTCTTCAACCAAAAAAAAGAAGAAAAGCAAGAAATAGTAGTAAGAGTAAAAGATAAAAATTCTGAAGAAATAACTTTTAGAATTCAGCCACTCAATGCTGAGAACCGAACGAAAAAAGAACATTCCGACCAATATGTGTTGTATGTTATCAAACGAAATGCTTTGATGTATCCTTAATGAACGCAACGAAGGTCAGTTTCTATCTCGAAAAAAAAAACATCGTCTTTTTATTACCTTAATTAAAAGCAAATAACTTCAATGCTTAACATTAAAAAAAAGCAGTTGAAAAAAAATTAAAATTATAAATGAAATAAAAAGAAAGAGAAAAGAGTCTTGAAAAGATGAAACAAAACTTTTTTTTTTTTGCTTCTCGTCTTTCATACAAACGCTCAGTTTGTATGCAAGGCAAAGAACAACGAAGAAAATCTTTGTATCTTACACTTCTGATTACAACAGATTCAGTTTCGGAAATTTGAAAAAAAAAAGTTTCTTCCAATATCTTTTTTCAAAAAAAAAAAAAGAAAAGAAAAGAGAAGATAAAGTAAAAAATTTAATACGAACACTGTTCTCCAGTGACAGTTTTCTTCGCATTATAATCGCTGTTTTCATTTTTTTAAAGAAGATATTAAGTATCATCAACAGAATTTGTTTGAACAAACATTTTCCCGCAACATTTGACAAAGTTTCTTCTTCAGTTTTATTTATTTATTTTTTTCTAGAGGAGGAGATGAGGTGAAAGGGGGAGGAGACAAAGTCCGAGAGGGATTTGGAAAGATGGAATTAAACACTATTTGATTCAAACACTTCAAAAACATTTGCTGTTGAAGCTAAAACCATTCCCTTTACTGTTGCTAACAATAGTGGAAAAATGATCCTAACTAAAGTTCATTAGGCAAAGCCTAGTCTGTATCGATAATAGCGGTTACGGCGAGTATTTTCTTTAGAATCTGGCACTGTTAATCACTATTAAGGCGTTATAAAGCCGAAACCGTTTTTACATTCCTTTTTGCATCGTCTAATTTTCAAATAAAAGAGCTCAAAAATAATTTTTGCCTTATCAAATACTTAAAAATTATCGCTCTTTAACCTTGAAGTTCTTTTTCATCTACCATCTCAGAAGCGCAAAGTGTTTGCAACTAGCCAAACACATTTGTTGAATAATAAGTGGTAAATCAACTAAAAATTTTTTCACTAGTTGTAAAAACATCGTAATTTGTACTCTATTAAACAAGATATTCACGGCAGCAAAGCCACAACATTCCCCTTATCGTATTTGCTCAATGTTCCAACAACGCTGCAGTAGTCATCAGTGGTCTTAAACATTTCTGCATATATTATTAGCAGATTTATCTAACCACTTAATGCTATAGCGCACCGTACACCCTTTTTTTTACCTGTCCACGTTAGCGTTTATCAAATTTCCTTAGAAAAAAAACCATCGGCAAAAAACAAAACAATAAAGATGAAAGCAAAAATTAGATCTTTTTAAACCAAATTCAAAAAAATTAAAAAAAAACAAAAAAAAAAAAGTACTGCTACTGTTAGAGCAAAATCTGTTTAAGTTATTTCACTGATTGGTCATATAACGCCTTTCGCTAAAGTAAAAAAAAAAGAACGTCTCTGTCACGGAATATATCTGCAAAAAATTGAAGAGTAAAAAATGTCATATCAAACAAACTTTATGTTGAAAGTGAAGAAAAAAATAATTGAGGGAACTATTATTCATCAGTTTATATTGGCACAATAAAAAACAATGTTAAATGGTGACCAATATATGACTGTTTAGGAAGAAAGAACTATTAGGGTGAAATTCTGGTGATATATGTGAGTGGTAAAGTAGATGAGCAAAGGAAAACTAAACCATCTGAAAAATGAGTAGCCCTAATGGTAATAAAGGATAACATTAGGAGGAAAAGAGGAATGTCCTTCAGCGAACAAATGTTTTTGATGTTTACTTTTTCTTTGCTTTTTAAAGATGTTTTAAGTGTATATATTGTGTGAACTTCGGTAAATTCTATTTGTGTTTATTTGTGAAGAAAACAACAACAACAACAACCGAAAAAAAAAATAAATGTGATAAAAGTCAGAAACACAAAAGTAAATAATTTTATGAATGCTATCTTGTAACTGGTGATGGTCCGAAAAGATTTAGATGTTGTATCACTACCGCAGACCCAATAGCCTCCCCTATTTAGGAGTATTTGGGAAATGCTATTTGTTGGTAAACAGCAAACAACATTTTGTAACCGTTTCCCAAACAACCGCAATAATTTTTACGTCCTTATTGCAAAACACCGAATACTTGAGAACCAAAGAATGCAATTCGCAAAAATGAGATGACTAAACAAAAGACTGAAAAAACACTTTTTTTTGATATTTTATTATTACTTGTGACATTTGGAACTTTTACGACGACCTTTCAACTTATATGAATGAAGAAGGAGAATGGGATTTTGGTATTTAACTTAACAACAATTCCTGTTACACCTCTGACAGCGGGTATAATCATAGATTAACTTAATAATCTTTTTAATCTTTCTTAGTTATAACAAACGACTTTATCAAAATTATTTACGAATTTTACGCAAAATTTGCATTTCTGAGCAAAAGATAAGAAAAAATATTGAAGAACTGAAGGAAAAGCTGAAAACAATCAGATGAACGTTGCATTAGAGATAAACTTCAAATGTACGATGCAAATATGGTTATAGTTGTTTGGAAAACTAAAACCAAAAGTTGTTAGTAACTACAGTCAAAATTTAAACAGAACTATCAGCAACTAACAAGTACCAATTCAAAACCAATTAAGCAACTCAAATATATTTATTTTAAATATAAGTAATTGTTTAGCAGTAGTAACAGCAACAGCTAAAAAAAGAAAATTTACATGATCAAGAAGACAAAGAAAAATTTTGCAAATAATGAGCACAGCTTCATGTCTTCAAGGTTCCAACTTAACCAGTCACTTATCTAAATATAAAATGCTAGAGTATCAGCAACAAAAAAGAAAGGAAAAAGGAAAAAAAAAAGAAGTTTTAAAAGTTACTATCACGAAAGTTTTGGCAAAACTGACGTTTCAATTCAAACTGCATAAAACTGTCATTAATCAGAGAGATTAAGGCGAAAATTGCTGAAAAACTGCAACAGTCTGTCGATACATTGTTCATTATTTTTACTTTTCTTTTTTCTTGCAGAACTAAAGCCTTGTAAAATAAAAGATCAAATTTCCTCCTAATGAACAAATAGATTAACAATGAAAGCGAAAAACAGTATTATTTCTTTGTTTTTTTTTTTGAGACAACCAAAATTAGACTAGAAAAAAGGCTGAGTGTGTTTACAATTATTTTTTGAAGAAGAAGTTAATCAGAAAAAGAAAAAAATTATGACAAATGATAAAGATGCTGCAGAAGAAATATAGGATAACTGAGATATTGAATAGACGACGTTTGTAGACGAACTAATCAACTGACTAGCTAACTAATTAGCAGACAACAACACTGTATTTGGTGATAAAAGGAAGAAAAAATTTCAGTTGAGCAAAGGAAAGGCGACTTTTATTTTTTATTTATTTATTTATTTTTTTTGTTCAATCTGCCCAATGCGGTAGTCTGTAATGTGCAAAAATAGGAAATATTTTTACCGCATGTTAAATAATTTAGTCGATGATGTTATCTGTTTTGAAACAAAATTAGCAGTAAATCATTTGCATCGACCAACAGTCAATATTCAGAAACTAATTTGCATACGCGGTTTTCTGAAAGCTTTCTGTCTTAAGCTTATCCACACAAACACAGCACATACACAGAGTACACCGTGTGTTATATTTGTTTTTCTTCTGGTTTTCAGGTGTAACAACAAACCTTAGAAGTAATTTGAAGATACTTATTGAAGTCTCTAGTTGGTGAACAAAAAAGCGAAAGAAGAATAAAGGTTGAAGAAGCGAAAATGAAATAAAATAAAGCAAGAAAAGGTTCTATTTCGGCAACATTTATGTTCAGACTTTAACTGATTGCTGATTATCGTAGATGCTATTGTAAGATCAGCTTTAACGACTCTAAGATTCTTTTCTCTTTTGTTTTTTTTTAAAGCTTTTAAATGCTTTTCTGTGATCCATTAAAGATAACCAAACATCAAGTCTACCAATCTTTAACTGCAACAAACGTTGCTTTTAAAATGTACAAAGTTTTTGGTTAACTAATGCTCCACTTATTACACAAAATTTTTCTAGACTAGAAATTTTTCAAACCTCTTTTTTTTTTGCTTTTTTACTGCTTTTTAAACAATTTTTATTTTTTTTTTAATGACAATATTTTTTCGGTTTCTTTAGCGTAAAATATTTTGAACAGTATCGTTACTCTGACTGAATTCTTCTTTTAGTTTATCATGAAAACTGACAATAAAGTAGTTTTTACAGTAAACTAAAAATAAAAGTCATATTTTTAGTTTACTGTGGAAAACTTACTTATCTGCCAAATTAGTTTATTCCAGAATATAACTTTAACAAAAAATAAATATCCACAATTGTCTTCAACAATAATGAAAAACTTTTCAGTTTTTAATGATCTTTAGGTTGTAGAATGCTGAATAAAAACAGGTGCTTGAAAAAATAATTTCTGTAGTTTACTTGATTAAAGTTCAAAAATTTTTTCCAATATCACACTAGAACTTAGGTTTTTGTCTGATCAGTAATGAATAATTGTCAACTTTTTTTTGCTATCGTAAAAGTTAACAATTATTTTACCTGCAGCACTTTCAGTTTCATAGTAGTAAAACGAAGCGTTCTCTCTAAGCGAATCAAATGAGTCGTAAGAAGCTGAAAATAACTCTTGTTAAAAGTAACAAATTTTGTTTTTTTTGATGGTGAACAGATAGGTTTCTGTTAATAAACAGACAGATTAACAATAAAAGCGTAACTTTCTTTTTTTTACTTTTTTTATTACTTTGAAAATAAAAAAAAGCAGAAGATAATCAATAATTTAATTATTTAATATCTATAAAAACAGCGATCTTTTCAAAGATAGCAGAATTTAAGCCAAAAATTTTAATGAATTTGTAAAAAAAAAGCAATAATTTTTTATCATAAAATTTCGTTAACATTAGAATATTATATTTTGTTGATGCTCAATTGCTTAGAACCTACTAGATATGTTAACACCCAAACACTGAATCCATTCGCTTATTTCAATTGTACCGTTGCAGTTGAAGTCACAGTTCCGGAACAGCCTTCGAAGACATGGTCTTGGTAAAGCCATCTTCTGCCTCAAATTGGAATAGATAAGAAAATTTGTCTCTTTTTAGTCAGTAATATTTCTTCAATTGTAATCTTCTTTCAGTTTTCTTACCGAAGTTTTTTCTTCATTTTTTTTACTTCTGCCTTGCTTAAAAGACTATTCTTATCGAGATCAAATTCTTCAAATTTGTTTTTCATCACTCCCAAAGGATTGGGTCGCTCATAAGCTGAAAAAATTTATTAATTTATCGTCTCAATTATGCTTTTACCAGTGAAAAATCGCAATTATTTCTGCTATCAGAGATATCAGAAACTTACAATTTACCGTCGTTTTATCAAACTCTTCTTCAAACATTTTATATAGCTTGTTGTTAAAGCTGGAACGATCAACAGCAGTACAACCTGAAAAAGCACAAATAATTTTTCTATTTTATATCTATGATTCATTCGGAGTTTTAGTGGTTTAAAAACTGCACTAACATATTCAATTTTTCATTTTTTTTTTGAGAAAGGAAAAATTATAAGCAGATTGGTTAAATCATACCTTTCCCTTTTGTAATCTCTGTGATTCCCTCAACTTCAGTACCGTTTACACGATGTGAGCGTCGACCAACTTTAATACTAATTCTTTCTGAGCCTATTGGTTAAGCGCAATTAAGACTTGCAAAAAATCTTGTTCACTCAGAAAACAAGGCAGTTTTTATCAGGGAGGATTAATATGAAGGTTTCTAGAAGTATCTAACTGCGTTGTTTTTCTGGGTGAAACAGAAGATACTAACCATGTTGACAGGATGGTTGAGAGTACTTAGTTGAGGTTCCGGGAATTGGACGACCATATCGGTCGACGCACCAGCAATAGCCCATCTTTTTAAAGCACTAAAGCTAACATTTATGTTATGTTAATGAAACTTATTGAACAGTATTTACTAATTAAACCTGGCAGCAATTTGAGAGCAAAAAGAGAAGAAAGATGAACAGAGATGTTAGTGAATACCTGAGTTGACAAGTAGGTTCCGTCAGTATGATTACATTCTGGTACAAACACATCACCGCCTTGTTTTTTAGCAATATCCTGCCAAAATGCTCTAGCCAATGAACAGCGTTCTGCATCTGCAATAAGACAGCTAAGACATTTGCACTTCGTTTTCATAAAACTTTACAGTTTTGGGCGTTAACTAATTGTGATAATAAAACCATCAAGATAGTAAGCGTTAAAAAAAGTCAAAAAAAAACAGCCATTTTTGAAAAACAGAATATTTTTTAAAACATCTTTCAAAAACAATACATCGTTTATTGTTATTTTCATTTTACAATCTACAAGGAAGTGTAATTAAAAAGTGAAGTAAAGTTTTGTAAACCAGAACATGGCCCATCATAAAGCTTCTTGACTGGTTCACCATTACAAATAGCACGTTTGATATCGCACATTGCATAATAAGTCCGTCCATTATTACCACAAATAGTTGTCAAATTCATTTCATTATTACTGCACAGAAGTGATGCATTACATTTACGACTCATATTATTGGTCTGGTTACTGCTGCTACTGTCATTTAGCTGAAACTTTTGATTACAGCTTCTTGTATTCTGCTTCTATGAACACTGTTAGTGATGTAAAATTATTTTAAATGCACATTCGTCATAGCAAGAAAAAAAATTATTAGAATGATTTATTAAAGTACTACATGTTTCCTCCGTATACTTATACCAAAGCTGGCTTAAACATGCTGCTTTGAAAATGAAAAAAAACTTGTTGAACTTACATACATTTGAATATGGTACAGTAAAAGCATAACACTGCAAAGACAGCGTCCAGATACAAAATGCAACCGTGACGAATATTCGAATCAGAAACGCCATAGAGGAATCTGCCCAGAAGTTCAAATGCTGCATATGGCTGTAACCCACTTTGCTGAAGCGATATGCATCATCTGGAACAAACTCCTTCTCATACATCTGTCAATGACTTTTTATATCAAAAGTTTTTTTTTTTTTTGAAGAAGAAGAAGAAGAAGAAGAACATTATTTGTTCAAAGAAATGCACAGTAATTAAAACAGAAGGAAGAAGTTTTGATATTGTCAGCAGTCAGCAGTTAGCGCTATTTGTAGTTCTATTGAAAACTGATACCTTCAAATATTAAATAGTATGCACAAGAATTCGCAATTGTAACTAGAACGTCCAGTAGCGTATAGTTTATTAATCATATTCAATCATTTTCACACTCTCAACTCTTTAGTTTTTTACTAGCAGAAGAATATTACGACAGTAGAAAACAAGCGAAGATGTTTTATGACAGTTGCAAATCAGAAATTGTTTAATTTTTCAAAGGTTTATTTCACTTTTTGCTAATAATATGTTTTGTCAAAAAGTCGACTTTCAAAATTTGTTCAATGAACTATGCAAGAAAGGAAGCAGAGAAGATAAAAATTTATTAGATAAAACGTATAAACCTTCTTTTGTCTATTAAGATTACTGTCGTTTGTTATATTTTTTAATTGCTAAGCTTTTAGACAATGCTTTTTAACGACTATTTTAATTAATTGCTCATTCAAGGTCTTTTTTTTCAATTTTTTAAGGTGCTTTTATCTTCCTTTCGTAAAAAAGTAATCTTTTTAACGTTAGATATTGGTGTTGAATAACATTTTTCAAACACCGTTTATCAGAGCCGTTTAATTTGTCATTGAAAGTAACCACAGCCAATCCGATTAGGTTACCGCAGCGGTGCTATTTAAAGAGGTGCTCTTCAAATAGGAAAATACTTGAGAAATGAACAGAGAACAAAAAACAAAACCACATTTGGCCGTTAGAAAAAAGCGGCGAAACTGAAGCTGATGAAATCCTTTACAGAAACAAGCAGCTGAACATAGAATTGGGAGAAATATGCAGAGCAAAACAGTTGATCCGATATATCTGTATTATAGGGTTATTTTTGCTTTGATGTAAAGGTACTTGTAGACACAGAATTGTACCAAAAATCTTGTTTATCGTGGTTTAAGTTTCACTCATTACAGCTTCAAAATTTTAAAAAAGAAAAGGTAAAGGTTATGTTTAAAAGCTTTATTAAATAATAAACCAAAATTTTTTTTTTGTAGCTCAATGCTTAATTTTCTTCCTTTTTATTTCTAAGAAAAATGAAAATTGTATATGCTAAAAATAGGTGAAAACTATAAATACTTTTGCCAACCAAAAATTGTTTTTCAAAGTCAATTGTGCTTTGTTTTTCAACAAGAAATAAATTCCCTTTAAACTTTTTCGCTAACCATTTTATTAATAGTTTTAAAGCAGAAAACTTCGACACTTCAGGTGCTTTTTATATTCAATTTTTTTTACATTAAATTACTTTAGAATTTTGTTGGTTAGACCTAATCATGAGCTATGCAGCAAAACCAATTTTATAACGTTTTAACATTAACTGATTAAAGATGTAATTTAATAGATAAAATTGTAGTTAATTTATTAACTGTCACACACACACAAAAAAAAAAACATAAATTTGTTTTATTTAAAAAAGGTAATATTGTTGATCGATAAAATAAATAAACTCAAAAGTTTAAGTGTACAACTAACCAAAACTACTGTTGATGCATCAGTTAAGCCTTAATTTCGTGGCGATTATAATGCTTTAGGCTTTATCCACAACATTTCCAGAAGATTCAAATAGAAATTTTCCAAATTAGCAATGAATGCTATGCAAATGCTGCAGATAGAATCGGTTTTTGATGTAAACGACGAACCGTTGAGCAATTTTGGCAACGGACACCAAATATTTTCTGAATCTAAAAATCTGATGCTGCTTTAAAAAGTTGTTGTCGACATCAAAATTGCAAACATTCGTTGCGTTG